GGATTAAACCTGAATTGGTTCCGTGCAAGGGCAGTGCCCTAAAAGCTGTGCTATAGCTCCAGCCTGAAGAAACCAGTATTCTATAGATGCAGGAAACTATTTTTTTATGTTTCTATGTTCGCAAAACCCACAGTAATTGTTAAAGTAAAAGTAACCATTGATTTAGCTACATAAACAAGCAGTATTTAAGTAAGCAAGAGATTTTTATAAGAATTTTCATAGGACTACTTTTGCTTATCTCCAAAGAAACCTGAACTTTGGTCCTCCTCTCCTACCCTAAAGTAATTTGATGTGGCAAAAATGATACTACAGCTAAGAAGATAATTCAAGGGGCTGGCGTGCAGGCTTTGCGTGTGGGAAGTATGGGGTACAAAACCTGGCACCCCACAATCCCCCAGCACAGGTGTGACCCCAAAACAAAATTTCTACTTTTACAAGATTGTTATATAATGTTAAATTATATCTTACTTTAGCAGCTTTGCTAGTGTAAGTTCATGGAAATAGGTGTGTGTAGATTTCTTTGGTCAGAGGGTGGTTGGTGTGTGATGGCAGCTATCAAAAGTATTGCCGGGGCCAGAGCGATAATACGGTAGATAGGGCATTTGCCTTGCACGCAGCCAACCCGGGTTCGATCCCCGGCATCCCATATGGTCCCCCGAGCACCACCAGGTGTAATTCCTGACCACAGAGCCAGGAGGAACCCCTGAGTATCGCTGGGTGTGACCCAAAATGAAAAAAAAAAAAAGTATTACCACTGGACTGTACTGTCCTCCCATTGTTCATTTATTTGCTCGAGCGGGCCCAGTAACGTCTCCATTGTGAGACTTGTTTTTACTGTGTTTGGCATATGGAATATGTCACGGGGAGCTTGCCAGGCTTTACCCTGCGGGCGAAATACTCTCGGTAGCCTGCCAGGCTCTCCAAGAGGGGCGGAGGAATTGAACCGGGTCTTCTGGGTTGGCCATGCGCAAGGCAAACGCCCTACCTGCTGGGCGGAAATCCCATCAAGGGCTGAAGCACAAGCCTTGAATGCAGAGACCCCCATGTATGATCCCTGATACCACATGGTTCCCTGAGCACTTTGGGGTGGCCCTGGATGCCCTCAGAACTGCTGGACCCAATACCAAAATCTGCAGACCCCCACAACCAGGACAAAAGGCATCAAGTTTGTGACTTTCGGACCCCTGACACTTGTTTGGAGTACCCCCGCTCCCTTCTGCTAGGGGCTGAGGAGCTAGCTCAGAAGCTTGGAATGCGAGGCTCTGAGTCAGATCCCTGCCACCACATGCCCTTCTACCCCTGGCATCACCTGGCAGAGCCCTCCCTGCCTGGCTTGAACAGTACCACAGTTTCTGGGCCTAAGCACCTGGTGGCACGTTGCCTGGGTATCCTTCAGGATCCGGAGCACTGCCAGGATGCCCCACACCACACCTCACAAAAGTTAAACCACACCATTGAGCACTGCAGTATTGCCTGTAATTTTATCCTGTGTTTAATAATGCCCTGGGCCCCCTAAACTATACAGAAGTTTAATCCAGGGAGCTCTAAAAGCGGTGAAATGTCTCGAGTTTAACTGAACCTTTGACTGCAAACTAGCACCTTTGTGAAGCTGCTGAAGCCTTTGCCAACAGGAGTTTCCCTCATGAGGCCCCATGTGTCTTTTTTCTCGGCTGAATAGAGATACTGGGTGACCTTTATACTTATAACGACTTAGTTAAACCCTAAAGTTACTTGATTTTCAAGAGTTAACGTGGTGCAAATATTTAAAGGTAAAAATTTGAAGCCCCATTGAAACTCACTTGTAAGGGGAATATACTTAGCAAGTTAAATATTATTTTAAAGCATGACATATCTTATTTTGGCCACTTCAAATTGCAATATCTTTTATTTTTATTTTATTTCTTGGCGGGGGGGTTGTGCCATAACCTGCTTAAGGACCATGTGGTGCTGGGGATCGAACCCGAGATTCCAGCATACTAACAACAGGCCGCAGCCAGTCCTTGGGAATTCTCTTCCTGGGCCAGTAATATCAGCTTTTAAAGTTGAATTTTATTCTGCAAAATGTACACAGTCAGTTGGGGAGTCATGTTTGAGCATTTAACTTAGGCTGAAAAACTAACATGCTTGAGACATTTGCTTTTAATGGTATTGACTTTTAGAACTTGTTCCTGCTCATAATACTATGAACTCAGCGCTCAGGTCCCTAAGTGGTATGAGGGCGCAATTGTCTCTTCCTGTTGACTTTCTAAAAACGTTTAAGAGAGAAGGCACAGTGACATGTCTCAAATTGGGATTAAAAATAAAGTGAGTGAGATTCTTTTGCAGATTTCCCTTATAAGTTGTCAGATATCTGAAAGGAGCTTTTCAGAGATGAAGATCTTAATTCTTAATTTGTCCTTGTCTGAGGAAGCACCCGCAACTATTCCTTGAAGACAGTATTATTCATTTTTAAATGAAAGCTGACAATACAAATATTCATAATTGTTTATGACATAGGACGCTTATAAAATAGAATAAGAAACTGAGCTTTGGAAATTGCTTTTATTTTATGAAAGTTTCCATGGAAACAATAAAGTCTGATCTTAGAGACCTTTGGGGCTCTCAAATGTTTTTTCTTAGGAGGCAGTTTATTTTGGAGACTAGAATGGCAAAAGGTGCCTCCGTGGTTGGCTCTCGGAGCGTGAGGTGTAAGATCTGCTGCACACCACAAACTCAGTGACCTTCACAGGACAATTGACCAACTTGCAATACACACACTCATACACTTCCTCTGTCTGTGGGGATATCTTCCCAGGATTCGTGTTAGCAGCCTCATTGGAGACAACGGATTTAAAAGTTCTCTTTGTAGAGTACTAAATTATGTCAATAAAAAAAATTAGAATTTTTGCCAAATGAAGAAGCACAGATAGAAGAACAGATAAGGTTTTTTCGTTTGGATTATATGACTCTCCCTGCCCACCCAAATCATTTCGAGTCAAATGACTCTTGAAGGTTCCTAAGTTGAGGGTAAGATTTTTCAAATTGTTTTGTCTAGCCCTGAAAGGTATATTATAGACATCTAGGTAATATTCACATATCTAAATAGAAATACGCTTTTACGGTGCCTGTTTTTAGCTGAATATAATGGCAATAAATGTTTGTAGCTGAATAATTTCTGTAGCCTAGTAATTAAGACAGCCCATGGGGGGGGGGGGGGGGCGGGAATAGATATATATGCCTGCCCTGTTGAGCTGCAGACTGCTAGTGGGAGCAGCATAGTGGCATAGTTCAATTAGGAAAATGATAGCAGTAGCTTTGTGTTCAGTTAGAAAAATGATGAACTTTTTTTTTAAGATGAACTTGTTCTCAGCTAGGTATTTATTGTCTGGCACTTAACCCTCCAAGTTACTTTCCATCCAGTCTCATTGCTCATTTCCCCACATTGATGCCTTCAATGTGTGGTCTTGATTCCGGATTTATCCAAAAAGAAGACCTGAGGAAATTCGTCTTCAGTGAAGTAAGAGTGTGAAGTGAGCAATTAAAGTGGACTGGCAGGGGCTGGAGCCATAGCACAGTGGGTGGGGCGTTTGCCTTGCACGCGGCCGACCCAGGTTTGATTCCCAGCATCCCATATGGTCCTGAGTGAAGAGCCAGGAGTAACCCCTGTACATCGCCTGGTGTGACCCAGAAAGCAAAAAAAAAAGTGGACTGGCATTGGGGAAGGCCAGCCAGGTGGGAGAAACAGGAAGAAGGTTTAAATAGAGAGGAGAATGTTTTTCAAGCTAGCAAACCAGAAAAGTGAGCCTGGCTGAGGCCGTGAGTTAGAGGTGTGGAAGGGAAACTGGGTGCTCCCGTGAAAGAAGGCTGTGTGCACTCTCCCGGAAGCTGGCTTTCCTGAGCTCACTAGACAGGAGCCCGCCCAGGTTTCGTGCCGTGCCGAAAATTGTATGTGGGAACGATGCCAGCTGTTTGATTGATGACCAACATTTGGAAGGAATTGCAGGGGGGAGAGGTTGTACACACCGGGTAGTGACTGGGCTTGAGACAGGTGCGCGGTTTTCGGAGCAGATAAGGAGCTTGATTCGAGGAAGCCAGGGGCCAGCCGAGTGGTGAGGGATGATTGAGAGGGCCAGAGTCATGGTTGTCGGGCCTGATAGAAACCTGGGAGTTATCTGTCATCCTTCCATGGGAGCTTCCTCTCAGTCCTCTGTCTCCCGTGTGCTCAAGTCATTGTCTTACTTTGTCACCAGTGTATGCCTAAATAGTGTCCCCCACTTTTGTTTGTTTGTTTTTGGAGGGGGGCACCCAGCAGTGCCCATTGCTTATTCCTGACTCCATTCCTGATGTGCTTGGGCACCATCTGAGGTGCTGGGGATCAAACCCAGGTCAGCCATGTGCAAGGCAAGTGCCTTACCAGCTGTACTATTATTCCAGCCCCATCACACGTGGCCTCTAATTCTCTCCCCTAGCGCACTGACGCTGTGATTTCCCTGCAGTACTTCTGTTAGCAACTCGCTTTCTTATTCCAGAAATGAGAGCCTCTAATTTGTGTATCATGTCAGCAGCAAGACAGAAAGGCCATCCCCCCCGAGTAGACTATGGGGGGAGGAGAGGAGAGCTCTTCTCACAGGGTAATAAGCCTGTGGAAATCCTGAGGGCTGGGTATTGAACTGAACTGAGTTGTCCTATTAACTTCTGTCGCAAGATAGAAGCCAGAAATGGGAGTAGATTTTGAGGTCAAGGGAAGATTAAGCAGAGATTGCCAGTTCTCATCCTTTGCCCATGTTTCCGCGGGGACAACCTCTGACCCCTGCTCACAGTGCCCATTCCTCTCTCAGCTCTTCAGAAAAGTCTAGAGCCTGGACACCTCGCACTCTTCTCCTTGGACTTTGCCTTTTCTTTCCTTCGCTTTTCTTTTCTGTTTTCTTTTTCTTCCTTCTCTCCCTCCCTCCTTCTCTCTCTCTCTCTCTCTCTCTCTCTCTTTCTTTCTTTCTTTCTTTCTTTCTTTCTTTCTCTCTTTCATTTATCACCAGCATTTCTAAGACCAGACTTAGGCAGGTACAAAACTAGGTCTGGGGACACATGCATAGTATTATTATAGCGAATGTTTGACCTGTCCTGATTATTACAAAATCAGAACAGCAAAAATATTCTCAAGAAGTTTGCCCTTTCTTTAGTTGCTACTTCAAGATCTGCCTTTTCTGTAAGCCCTTTGATGTTTCTAGTAGCTGGGGTTGGGGTTTGGGGCTTGGGCTCACATCCGGCAGCACTCAGGGCCTACTCCCAGCACAGTGCTCTGAGAGTGCTTCCAGCAGTGCTCAGGAGAACATGTGGTGCCAGAATGCACCCAGGACTCCTGTATGCAGACAGAGCGTGTGCTCTGGCCTGTCGAACTACTCCCCAGCATCATCCTTTCTGAGAATTCTTGCTGCACTAAGTGTAGCAAGGCAGTATTTAGTGTAATATTTAATCATTTTCGGATGTTCTCTAGCATAAAGAATTAAGTGCCAGACTTGTAAATCACCGTAACTGAGAGCTGTGGAGTACAAAGTAAAGAAGAAAAGCAGCAGGGCAAAATAAGAGGATCGAGTCCAAGTTCTGGTCCCAGCTTAATAATTAATGGGGTGCATGGTCTATGATGGAGAGCGGGGCACAGGGGCCATGGCGCATCAACTGTATTATCTATGGGTTTGGGTTTCTGTGATCCCAGTGCCATGTGATTGACTAGTTGAGTCTGGCAAGAGAAGGAGGAGGAGATAGTAAATGTGAGGTCATTAGCTGGGAGGAAAAAAACACAGAAGTTACCTGCCAGACAAGTAGGAAGAGATACTGGAGGGGTTATAGTGGGGGGAGGGGGGAGATAGTGAAAGTGCTCAGGCGTACGCCACTAGCACCCCTGAACATTACTGTGTAGCCCTGGAGGGCCCAGGCATGGATGAGCACAGCTTTGGAGCACCGAAGGTGTGGCTTGGGCAGTCCCTGAATCAGGAGCCTGATTGGCTGATAGTCACAGGAAGGGCCTGTAGGCCTCCTGAGCACTGCTGGGGAGACCCACTCGGAGAGCCTACTGGTGTGATGGGAGGTGCGAGGATATTGCTTTAGTGGGCTTTTTTTTTTTTTTTTTTGCTTTAGTGTTTTTGTAGTTCACCATCACTGTGGTTTCTAAAACGAAATATCCTGGGTACTGATAGACTAGCTGGTGGTGGAGAAATTTGTGTTGAATAACAAAGAACTACCAAAGGCGATTAGAGCAAAGAGGAAGAAGTAGATGTAGAAAGAGGAAAGGGAAGGACACCAGATTTTGAAACCAAAGGTGTGACTCAAGAACCAGGAGGAGGGCCTGAGCAGTAGTAGTACAGCAGTTCAGGCTCTTGCCTGGCGAGTGGTGCCAGGGATAGCACCTGTTGACGTATCAGGCTCTCGGCCTACCCAGCCATCTCTCTGGCCCTCTATTTTGTACTTTACAAGAGAACATGATTTAAATGACTAAATACTATTTAGAAGTTCAAGCACCATCTTTCACCTTTCATCTTTCCTTCCATTCCCTTTAGCTTTAAAAGTTGTCTTGCTTTGAAAACTCCCTGTTTCCCACCTCTCTCCATTGTTACGTAGTCTTTATTTTTTTGTTTCAAATTTTTTTGGGGGGGTTGTGGGGCAGTGCAGTGCTCAGGACTCACTCCCGGTCCTGTGCTCAGAGATCTTGCCTGGCAGTGCTGGGGATGGAGCTGGGCTTGGTTGTGGGAACAGCCAGCACCTTCCCCCTGCACTGTCTCTCCTGCTGCCTTGTTGGGGATGCTGTCTGGCTGTGGCGCTCACACATTTGCAGTTGTGCAGCTCAACAGGTGTGCAAGGCCTAAGCACATGCTCTATAGAGGTCCCCAAGTGATGCTTGCGCTCGCTGGGGCTGGCTGAGCCCACATTTGTGCCTGGAAGGGCCACGTGTGGCTGTGTGCAGGCACGTCTCATTAGTAATACAGTTCTCTGGGCTCTGCTTGCTGTGGGCTGGGACATGTCCAAAAGGACAGCGGAACTACCAAGTCCGCCTTGGTGGGTGTGGAATAACGGGGACCCCAACTCCTCATTAGACACTTGCAAGGCACACGTCCAAAGGCCTAGCTTTGGGGTCACGTGACTTTAAAAGTGTTTGAGAGGCCAGAGAGAGAGTCCAGTGGTGAAGGGCTTGCCTCACATGTGGCCAACCCAGGTTTGATCTTGGGCATCTCACCTGCTCCCCAGAGCACCGCCAGGAGCGATTCCTGAGTGCAGAGCCAGAAGTAAGCCCTGAGCACTGCCGGGTGTGGCCCCAAATTACAAAGGCAATTTCTTTCTGATTTAGTATCCATAAATATCTGTAGACCTATTTCAGTTATCTAGGGTTATGTTAAGATTTCTGGAGCACTAAAGGGAGTGAAAAGTGGAGGAAGTTAAAGCAGCCCAGCTTGGTCTAAGCCAGGGTTCTGGTCTTCAGAGCTCTTTATCTTCCCTTTCAAGAAGCCCTGTTGAGCAAGTGCCGCCTGCTCTCACTCCTCCAGCTGGGATCAGACATCCCCAAAGGAAGCACCCCTGAGATGAGTGGATAGAGCTGGGGTCTGGAAGGGTATTGGGGGGGGGGGGGGATTGTGATAATGTGGTGGGATCCTGGTACGCTGGGTGTAAGCACGCACATACAAAATAATAGTATTGGTCTATTGTAAAATAAATTTATGTTTTTAAATAATTAAAAAATAAAAAGCTGGACTGGAGAGCTAGTTCAGGGGGTAAGGTGTTTGCCTTGCATGTAGCTGGCCCCTTTTCTATCCATTGCACTGCACAGGGTCCCGAAGCACCACCAGGAGTGGCTCCAAAGCCAAAAACAGCCAAGCCAAGTAAAGAAAAATCCATCTTCCCACACCCTAACCTAAGTTGTTACCCAGCCGCCGCACTTTATTCTCGGTGCTGCTTTTCCTTGGCCCGTCCTCCTTGCATCGTCGTTGCGGTGTCAGGACCCGCTCCGTGCCCGGATGTGGTGCTGACGCACCTCTTCATGAGGCCCGCTGGGGGTCATGCCCTTTCCTTGAAACAGACCATTCAACTGCCAGAATCAGGTCCCTAGTATATGGCCAAACAGGGACTGTGAATGCAGCCTTCAGTCCATCTATCCCCAGACCCCCAGGAGTTCTTGAGAATGACTCTCAACCAGGTTTTGGGGGCCCCAGGGCATGAAGCACATGCCAACTGATTCAACAGGGTGCCCAAATCATAATCACAAATCATCCTGTTAATCGTCGATTGCCTCGAGCAGGCCCCAGTAACGTCTCCTTCATCCTGGCCCTGAGATTATATTCAAGGCTCTTTAGGAGAATGAGACCCATCATTGTTACTGGTATTTGGCATATTGGGTACGCCACAGGGAGTTTGCCAGACTCTGCCGTGTGGGCAGGCTACATTCGGTAGCCTGCCAGTTTGTCCAAAGTAGGAATGAGATAATAAGATGTGATAATAAGATGTCGCAAATGCGGCCGCGCGGTTCCGGAAGCTGGTTTTTATAGTCTCTGGGTCTTGGCCGTTGATGGGATTACACGGCGCCAGGGGGCCAGTTGGTGGGTGTGACCCCCGCCTACTGGAGTTTGGAGGATCTGGGTGGAGGATGCCCGGCCCCAATCCAAGTAGGCTTGGAGATCTCGGCCCCGGAACCCTCGTGACTTTGTCCCTCTGCCAGTACCTTCAGGGTGCCCATGATCAGAAAAGGTTGAGAGGGGCTTGGAGCAAAAGTACAGTGGGGAAGGCACTTGTTTCGCATGTGACAGACCCAAGTAAAATCTCTGGCACCCCATATGGTTCCCTGAGCAGCACCAGTTGTGATCCCTGAGTGCAGGGCCAGGAGGAAGCCCTGAGTACAGCCAACTGTGACCCCCAAACAAAAAGCAAACAAGTGGTCGAGAAACACTGCCTTAGACTTTGATAAGAGTAAAGATAAGTGCTTTTTTTTTATGGTGACATAACAATAATAGACCTTTTTTGATCATTTTTATGCTTTCAGAAAGATTATTGCTATTACTTGGTTTAGATTCCGAAATGTCTATTAAAGCAGTTCCTAGTCTCTTATTTCTCTGTAGTGTAACCCCAACCAGTCATCATTGAGGTCTTTAGCAGTTGGAGAAGTAACTGGAAATAGTAGATGGTGTGATGTGCCAAGGCGAAATTTAGGGGCACATGGGTGCTTCTGTATTTTTTCATTTGGGATAAATGAGACCAGAGCCCCAGTGTCTGTTTTGCTGCATTGCGTTTGGCTATTTGAAGAATAGTTCAAATGCTGATAAATCACCTTTAAGAATTACCCAAATTTGTTTTCCCTGTAAATTTATTTGAGAAAGCATTTCCTTGGAAAAATATACTGGTGACTTTGCAAGAAATCATGCCTAAATCTATGGTAGATTTTTACAATGATTGATTTTCTTTGGAATACATAAGAATGATGAAGTACTAAAGTAATGGATAAAGCATAATAAAACAAAATACTGTTCTAGGGATTTTAATCTCTTCCTAAGACTCTTGTCAGTTACCTGTTCGACTCAGCAAAAAGTAATCCGGTAAAATGTGAGAAACTGAAAGCCACAATTCATCTTCAAAATTTTCAATGTCAAGGGGCCTGATAGAGAGGGGCTATGCCCTTGCCTGTGGCTAACCCTCGTTTGATCTCCAATACCACATTGTCCCCTGAGCAACTCTAGGTGCAGGCCAGTGTGATCTAAAGGTCCCCAGTACCAATGGAGTGTCTGGGTCACCCCGAACACACAAGGACCCACAGAGCACCTTGTCGTTACACTGAACTACAGACCTCATTGGCCATGAGTATCCTGGAGGGATTGTCTTGCACCCACAAACAAACAAACACTTTCCTCCTGTGGTTCATCGATTTGCTCGAGCGGACCCAGTAACGTCTTCATTTTGAGACTTGTTGTTACTGTGTTTGGCATATTGAATACGCCATGGGTAGCTTGCCAGGCTTTGCCGTGAGGGCGAGATACTCTCGGTAGCTTGCTGGGCTCTCTGAGAGGGGCGGAGGAACCGAACCTGGCTCAGCCGGGCTGGCTGCGCACAAGGCAAACGCCCTACCACTGTGCTATCGCTCTTGCACCCACAAAATCTTTAAAAACATTTCTAGCCTCTTATTAGAACTTTCCCAAGTTCCTTCAATTATTTCTTCCCTCTCTTCCCTCCTTTAAAAAATATATATTTTTTAAATATTTATATGTTTTAAATATGTATGTTTAAAAGTATTTTTAAATATATCTGAAAAAGAAATATTTTTAACAAAAATATTTAATTAGCTTCCTGTGATTTTTGCCAAATCATGTCTACTGCATTGCCAGCAATACCTTTTCTGGTGTGTGTGATTCAGATAAATAAATTCCAAAAGTGCCATATTGTTCACCCAGATGGCTCATTGTGCCAACGTGTGTATGGTGAAAGGTGATCTTCAAGGCTGCTGAGTAAATGCATGAACCAAGAGTTTCAGATCTTAGTTCTGTATCACAGAATCCAATTAGCCTACATGTTTCTTAATGTTTCTTTTCTCTCTTTTCCTAGAATTTAACTCCTTTTCGACCTTCGATTCAGTTCCAAGGGCTCCAAGGGGTAAGTACTCACCTTGAGTGGGCAAGAAAGCCAAATCTCCTTTACGCTCTTATTTTTTTAACTCTTAAGCTCTGTTTTTACCTCTGCCTCTTGATCAATGTCACCCCTATCTTGTGGACAAATTTCTGATACCTTCAGACCCTTGTGCTTGGGAGATTGGGGGTATAGCTCAGTGGTACAGGGTAAGTCTTGTGTGTATGAAGCCCTCAGGTTGATTCCTAGCATGCACCGCGTGCGCGCGCGCACACACACACACACACACAGTCACACAAATAGACTCAACTTATGTTCTTTTCTTCATTTATCTTTAAAATAATTAATATGCACTTACTGAGAGACTTTTTCCAGATCATAGATAATTGCTCTGGGGGCGTCCTGAGAGTCTTGACTACTCTCCTGGCAGCTCATTGCTTGAGCTGAGGGTGCAGACTTGCTCTATCCCAGAAGTGCTTGGGAGCCCTTAGGGCTACCCCTGGCAGTGTTTGGGGGACAAATGTGGTACCAGGATTCAAACCCCCAACCACTCAGTTCCACCTGCCCCAGATAATTATCCCAGGTAATTGCATTTATGTACTACTATTCATTCATTTATTTCTTGGTTTGGGGGCCACACTCAGCGATGCTCAGGGATTACTCCTGGCACTGCACTCAGGAATTACTCCTGGACATGCTCAGAAGACCATATGTGGTGCTGGGGATCAAGTCTGGGTCAACAGCATGCAACACGAATGTTCTACTCTGTACTGTCATTCTGGATGTCCCCTAATTTTTTAACATACACCAAAGTTCTAAGAGCACTGTAGCACTGTCCTCCCATTGTTCATTGATTTTCTCGAGCGGGCACCAATAATGTCTCCATTATGAGGCTTGTTACTGTTTTTGGCATATCGAATATGTCACGGGTAGCTTGCCAGGCTTTGCTGTGCGGACGGAATACTTTTGGTAGCTTGCTGGGCTCTTTGAGAGGGGCGGAGGAATCGAACCCAGGACCACCGCGTGCAAGGCGAACGCCCTACCTGCTATGCTATCTCTCTGGCCCGAAGTTCTAAGAGAATGTTTTTAATTTACTTCAATTAAGCACCCTTAATGCACTACTTATTATCAGCGAATTATGCTTATGTGATTTGAATCTATAGCCTTAATTTCTTTGATCGTATATTCTAGGAAATGAAACATGCAAAGAGAAAATTGGGTTTTCTTCAGTACAGAGAATGAGCAAAGTATTATGATTATTTTACTGCTGTATTTTAAAGCACAGTAAATTAAAATTCCTAATAAAGTAGACCTATGAATTTTGTATTTATAATAGATGAGAAGTTATAGCAGTTTTATCAGTAATTTTAATGATGACAATGCTTATTTTCTATGAATACACAATAGACTCAGTTATCCCTTCAGCTAAATTAATATGCACTTCTGAATTTGTCTCTGCATATTGGTGATGGTATGGAGATCTGGACAATCTGTGATTGAGTTTTATTTATTTATTGGCCTCTCAAGCAGTGCTGGGGGGCCGGAGGGCCATTCCTGGCAGTGTCACCCAAGCTCTGTCAGCTTGCTGCTTCAGTGCTGTTTCACAGAAGGGTCTGTTCTGTGCCGGGACCACAGAAACAACAGCCATGCTGGAGACAGGGGCGTGCAGTGCCAGGAGTCGAACTCAGGGCCTTGAGCATGCCTGACGTTCACTCCAGCCCTTTGAGCTGGCTTGAGCAGAAAAAGGCAGGCTGCAAGGAGAAAGCCTCACGTCTGCTTTTACAGGAATCTGTATACTCGTGAGTTTTTGTTATATTGCAAAAATGCAAAAGTGCAGGGTAAAGAAACAGGCTTTCTGGATGTTCTGACTTGAAAGCTTTCCGAGAGTTAGAGGTTAATTTCATCGAAGCTGAAAGTGGTGCTTTTAAGTCTGGCATGACACTGACTTGAGGAGACCTTTGCACGTGAAGGCAGAGCTTTGCTTCTGTGTGATAGCTTTGCAGTGAAAAATGTTTTCCTTCTTCCCCCAGTAACTGAGTTTTCATGAATAGGGTCCTAATTGGGAGAAATGTTCTGAGTTCTGTTGTATGGCTTTGTAAGATAGTCTTGCCCGTGCCTGATTTCATTTAAGGAATTCATTTCGGTTGATTATTTGAGGTTTCCTGCGTTCATTGACTGAGTCTATGAACCCTACAGGGTTCCATTGATTTTCTGTAAAGTGTTGTCGGAGAAAAGAGGATCATAGCTAGAAGCACATAGCGAGGTTTGAACGGCTTTTACCCCACTACCAACTGTAATCTGGGCTGTGCGCTGTCTTCCAAAGTCTTGATTTGAGATGTGCAGATTATGGTAATTAGAGGAAATATGACTTTTGCCAGCATGCCACTTGCCCCTAGGCTCCAGGAAGCATTGCCAAGTAGGCAGTATATGTTGGAGACCTTAAACCTCCTCTTTCACTGCATTCTCTGCTTTGGTGTGCCAGCTCTTCTGTCTCATGAGTCCAGTTGCCCCAGTTTGTCTTTGCCGGTTCGAGTCTCTCTTCTCTGCCTGTTGCCTGAATTTAAGTACACAAGTAGCTCTTCATTACTCCTAGAAGAGACAGTTTCCAGAATGCCAGTTGATGCTTGAAGCCACGCAGAGTCAGAGTCGCAGTCCTGTATATACTCTGCTCCTTCCTGTATACCTCCGTGCTGTGATGGTTAATTTTGTAAGTTTGACCCAGCGAGTGATGAGTAAAAGAGAATGGTTGCTGGGCCAGGGAGATGGCTGAGCAGTAGAACACCTGCTTGTGGCCCTGCCTGTGATCCCCAGTAGCCAAATAGACCAGGTAATAGACCCTGTGATAAAGTTATGGGACTGCCTACAGACACACTGCTTTCAGAATGTCCTGGAGGTAGTATTGGTGGGCCTCGGGTGACTCAACAAACAGAGGCCAATGCATAGGGGCTTGGGGGCGGGGGGGGGGGGGATTCTAATTTTTAAAAATTTCCAGTACCTTTTTCTCTCTTGCTTCTCTCATATTTCCTAAATAAAAGGACTCCACTTGTCTTTTTTTCTTCTAGAGCATTTCAGATGTATATCACTCCTAGAGATCGATCTGAAGGGGGTCTTTGGCGTTTAAAGGGAAATGAATGGTGACTGGATGCGGTCGAGCCAGTGGGAGCCTGGCAGGGCTGTGGGGTGAAAGCTGGCCCTACCTTGCTAATTCCAGTTCTGTCTCCTCAACGCCTCACTCCGGCTCCTTTTTATTATTTGAACTGGGAACAAAATATATGGACTCAGCATTGTTTGAGCGCCTGCAGCTGCATGCCATCCGCCCCTCCCCCTCCTGGCCGCCGCGCTCTCCCCAGCCCTGGGGGACTGAGTGAAAACAAAGAGTCATTACTGGGGAGAGAGTGGGTTGGCACAGCCCACAGGGAATCCACAGAGCAGCAAATGTGAGGGTCCTCGCACAGTGCTCCTCTGTGTTTGCACAAGAACCACGATCCTTTCAAGCTATGCCTTGCTGATGGCTTTCAGAATTCGGAAGGAGCATTCTTGCTGGGTTTTCCCATTTGGAAAGGGGTTTAGCACATTCAGTTGGAGATTTGACTTTAGATTTCCCACAGACGACGCGTTTCCTTAATGAGACATTTCAGTCATGGTTTACTAGTGCTTAAAAATGGAGAGTTGTGCTGGAATGAGGCAGAGCTCAGAAAGGTACAATCTTTTTTACATCAGATGTGATTGGAAATAAACGTGTGGCATCTTGATAATGTCTTAGACACATTCGAAGCATTACTGCTGCTAAGATACCCTTCCATAAGCGAACATTTCACGTTAATGGTTTTTCCTCTTCCCCTGATTGGGTTGTGCCTGCATGGTTATACTGTTCCTTGTTACTATTTATAGAATCCCCCCCCGACCCCCCCCCCCCCCCCCAGTATCTTTAGAAGGTCAAAATCTGGATCCTGGCAGGTTTGCTTTTAAGCATATTTACTTTTGTGCCTGAACATGTTCTCTTAGGTTGAAGTTTTCTTCTAAATAAATGTAAACTGGAACATTAAGCAAAGTAAAGCAGTGTGCTGTTGAAGAGTAAAAAAGTCAGAGAATTATGGATTACCCAGATTTGGAGGTGGGGAGGCCATAACAGTGCTCAGGGCATACTATAGACCCTGTTGTCAGGGATCACTCCTGGAGGGGCTCGGGGACTTTATGGGGTGTTGGAGATCGAACCTAGGTCAGCTATGTGTAAGACAAGTGCCCTACCCACTGTACTATCTTTCTTGGCCCCAGTGACCTGGATTTTTATCATGGTCATTGAACAACAACTCTTACAGGATAAAAAGTATAAGTTGTGTCTGACAGTTCATCTCTTTCCTGTCATGGAACAGGGTGTATTAGAAGCGGAATAGTCATTAAAAGCATCATTGACAATTTAGCACGAACAACAGCAAGAGGAGAAACTATCTATAGGACTGTTAATTCTGGTTTCTAAACCCATGAATATCAGTAGCTGCATAAATAAACCAAAATGCCCAATTGATTCTGAAGCATCAGGGTTAATCCAAAAAACCTCACAGTTCTACCTATCTCTAGGTTGGTTCCAATGAAAGATTGAGTAGGATTCTATATTTTTGTGCACTAATATAAATTGGACAGAATGATAGCTGCTTAGGATTCACCCAGGTTGTTACTGAGGTTCAAGTTAAAATATTTAGAGAGAGGTATTAGTTTTCTCTACTAAGTTTCCAAACATCTCTATTGTTGTACAAACTAAGAGAGGCTGTCTCGGATTTTCACTGGGTACTGAAAATAGGGCGGATGAAGATTTTTCCAGAAGTGCGTGTACAAGCGCAGTTTTATGAACTACACTCATTTTCCTGCTTGTTGAAAGTTTCTCTTATAAAGCCACACTGCCGATGGAGGCAGAGCCAGCACATCAAGTAGTTCGGGTCTTCCCACGCCAGAGGAAGGTGCTCTCCACTGCATTGGAGTGTTCAAAGGGCAAGTGCTGGATGGAGCCATGAACTCGGCAGTTTCCAGCC